ACACACACACACAGACACACCGTCCCGTAACACAGGCACACAGCCCTCCCATCTCTTTGACACTCTGATCTCTTTGACACTGATCACTCTGATCACAGTTAAAACCAAATGTACAAAGGACTTAATGTCTGATCTAGCGCCCTGCTCATAAGACATTGACTATAACAGTGATCTGCTAGGTCGGCTGTCTACTGCCCTCCCCCTGCTTACTCCGGTAGGGTAGGGACTAGTATATCCTGGATCCCTGCTGTATTCTCAGGACTGGCACAGCGCTCAGTGAACGTTTGTCCAATGACTGAAGAATGTATAAACTATATAACCTTCTTCCCCCTCCACCCCTCAAAAAGGAACTGCACAGGACTTGAATATTTTATCACTTCTTCTTTGTTAGTAAAATGAAACTGCAATTAATAACAGTGATGACGAAAAGGTTAAGCACAAAAGTAGGGAGGGAAGCGGTTAAGAACCGAGGGGCACAATCTCCAATCCTCCTACCGTCGGCGCAGTGAAACAGCAGCCCCAACCGGAGGCGCAGGGAAAACCCCTTGCAGCCTTCAGAGGCAAGTGGGCGGGGCGAGAAGCTGCGCCTAGGGGAGGCAGCGCCGGAAGCAGCTGCAGCACCGAGATGCGCAGTCGCAAACAAGCGGCCGGGGCGGGGTCAGGCCTCTCTCGGAAATGGAGATTGACGTTTCCCTGGAGGCGAGACTCAAGACCCTTCCGCACTTCTCATTGGTTCTGCTGGAGCCGAACAACTTTCCCTCACCCAATGTAGCCCAATGCGAAAGCAAGAGTATTCGTGATCTACGCTAGGAAACATTGGGTCAGTTGACAACGAGGAGGTACTTCGTAGAGGGGATAGAATTGCCACCGTGACTCCACCCCACCCAAGCTGAGCAAGATTCCTTAGGGAGCTCGAGATGGGGTACATCTAGTGCCAACACGCTGTCCCAGTGGGAAGCCCCGGGTCCATCTCTTTTATCTCGTTTAGTCATTTTGGCTGCCTCCCACCCTTTCCTGAGGCTGTGTTGTTATTACGGTGAATTATTCAAGAAGCTTTGCAGGCTGACGCCATCTGTGGACAGTGCCACTCCCTTTTCCCTACCTTGCCTGCAGGGCATTACGGTGGCCCGGCAATCGGAGGGTCCTGAAGCTTTTCTTAGAAATTCTTTGCCAGGCAGGCGTTTGTGCCTCTGAGCTATATCCCCAGCCCAGATTTTCTTTTTCTTTCTTTCTTTTTCTTTCTTTCTTTCTTTCTTTCTTTCTTTCTTTCTTTCTTTCTTTCTTTCTTTCTTTCTTTCCTTCTTTCCTTCTTTCCTTCTTTCCTTCTTTCCTTCTTTCCTTCTTTCCTTCTTTCCTTCTCTCTCTCTCTCTCAACAGGATCTTGCTATGTAGCCCAGGCTGGGTTCCAACTCACAGAGATCCTCCCGCCTCAGCCTCCCATGTGCTGGGATTACAGGCGTGCACCACTGCGCCCCACTCAAATCCTGAAGCTTTTCACAAGATCCCTGCCTTGCCACTTTAGACATTTAAGTGTCTGTTGAGGCCCTGCTGTGTGGTAGGTACAGTGGTGAGCAGGTCCCTGCTCTTGGGAACTTATATTCTATGGGACAACACAAATATATAAACAGAAAACAAGGTAATTTTCTTTTTAACGGTATTACATGGCTTTTCAATTCTAGAATTTAGTGACACTTCATTGCATAAAATCAGTGTTCTCACAAGTTTATTTTATTTTATTTTATTTTATTTTTGTCCTTTTTTTGAAACAAGGTCTCAGTATGCAGTTCAGGCTGGCCTTGAGCTCACTTTGTAGCCCAGGCTGGTTTTGAACTTGCAATGATCCTCCTGCCTCAGCCTCCCAATTACAGGTGTGTACCACCATGCCCACTCACAAGATAATTTTAAATAGTGCTAAGTGGTCAAAACAAGCCAGGCCTGTGCCCAGGAGGCTTGTCTCAGGTGCCTGAGGCCCTGGGTTTGAACCTCAGTGCTACAGCAGCATGATGATAGTAACTGGGACACTCAGTGAAAGTGGAGCCAAGGCCTCACTTAGGTGAACCTACTAGTCACAAGGCAAAGTGTTTCAAACCTGGGAACAGCAGGTGCAAAGGTCCTGGGGTTTGGAGGCAGCTTGGTAACAGCATGGACCAGGTTGGAGATTATTTTAAATATAATGGGAAGGGGCTGGGGATTTAGCTCAGTGGCACAGCGCCTGTCTGGCAAGCGCAAGGTTGTGAGTTCGATTCCCGGTACCGGAAAACAAACAAACAAACAAAAAAATATATATATATAATGGGAGGCCAACAGATTCAGGCAGGGCCTAGATAGAACCAGGGCCTGGATGATTCATCATCACTTGAGGAGTGGAGAACGAATTGTTGGGGAGGAGCGCAAATAGACTAATTCAGAGGTTGTGGAGAGGGTGATAGCCTGAACCAGGTAGAGGGGAGGTGGTAAAACATGGATGCATTTGAAATAGGATTGCTGCTGGGCATGGTCTTGCACACTTAAAATCCCAGCACTGAGGAGACTGAGGGCAGGAGGATTACCATGAGCAAAGCCTGGGTTACATAGTGAGTTCAAGGCCAGCATGAACTACATAGCAAGACCTTGTCTCAAAGAAACGAAACAAACAACAAAGGTCTCCTGCCAAGCGTGATAGTACACACCTGTAATCCCAGTACTTGGGAGGCTGGGGCAGGAGGATTGCCACAAATTCAAGGCCAGCCTAGGCTATACAGTGAACTCTCAAGGCCAGTTTGAAATACACAATGAGACCCTGTCTCAAAAAAAAAAAAAAAAATTCGGTGTGAGCTGAGTGTGGTGACACACACCTATGATCCCACCACCTCGAGGAGCTGAGGCAAGATGATTGCTGTAATGTTGAGGCTAGCCTGGGCTACATAGGTCAAATCCAGTTCTAAGTATATGGAGCTGCTCTAAAAAAAAAGAGAGAGAGACAAAGAGAGAGAGGAGAGAAAAGAATTGTGTATCGCCATGCTGTAGCCATGGTGGATTTGAGGTATCCAAGCAGAAATGTTGAGTTGGTAGGCAGGTGTGGTGGCACACGCCTGTAATCCCAGCACTCTGGAGGCTGAGGCAGGAGGATTGCTGCAAGTTTGAGACCAGCCTGGGCTACAAAGTGAGCTTGAGGCCAGCCTGAACTGCATAGCAAGACCCTGTCTCAAAAAAAAAAAAAAAAAAGACCAAGAAAGAAATGTTGAGTTGGAGTTTGGAGCTTGCAGCTTTCAGAGGTCAAACCTGCAGTTACATATTAACACATAGTGTTTTTTTTTTTTTTTTTTTTTTTTTTCTCCGGTACCGGGAACTGAACTCACGACCTTCCGCTTGCCAGGCAGGCGCTTTTGCCGCTGAGCTAAATCCCCAGCCCCAACACATAGTGTTTAAATACATGGACCTCAAACGTGGCGTGGTGGTGAATGCCTATAGTCCTAGCACTCAGGAGCCTGAGGCAGGAGGATCACGAGGTTGGGATACATACATCCTGGGATACATACAGCCTGGGATACATAATGAGTTCAAGGCCAAGTTGAACTACACAGCGAGACCCTACCTCAAAAAATACATACATATATGGATCTCAGCAGGGCCACCAACATAAAAAGTGAATGAGGCAGAAAAGAGGGATGTGAGCTGGGTACAGTGGTGTACACCTATAACCCTAGCACTGATAAGGCTGAGGCAGAAGGATAGCTGAGAATTCGAGAGACCTGGGCTACACAGTGGTAGGCCAGTTTGGACGACATAGTGAGACCCTGTCTCAAGAAAAAAAAAAAGTGCTGTAGAGAGAACCCTGGGGACTGCTGGTGTTCAGCAGTCTAGCACAAGTGTAAAAGCCATGAAAGGATATCCCGGATTGTAGCAGGGAAAATAGTATGATACCTTAAAAGGCAAGAAAGGGGAAAATTTAAAAAGAAAAATGGTGATTATCTGGGTTAACTCCTGCCTTGAAATCAAGTGAGATATAGGCAGAGAAATAATCACGGAAAACTTTGTCCAGAGCAGTGGCTAGCTTGGTGTGGTGGCATACACTTGTAATCCTAGCACTAGGGAGGCTGAGGCAGGAGGGTTGGCTTGGCTACATAGAGGGTTCAAAACCAGCCTTCACTACATAGTGAGATGACCCTGTCTCAGAAAGGAAAAAAAGAAAAAGAAAAAGAAAAAGGAGAAGTAGTACTGGTAGTAATAGTAGTACAGCAAGAAGGAGCCTGATGTCAGTGGGTAAGGAGAGAATAGATGTACAAGAGTGGAGAGGAGGAAGACAGGAAACCTTTTGCTATGCAAAGGAGCAGAGATACAATGTGATTTCTGGCAATAGGATCTTGAGTTTTCCTTAAAAGTCCAGGGGAAAGCTGAGTGTGGTGATGAATGTCTATAATCCCAGCACTCAGCAGGAGAATTGCAGCAAGTTCCAGGCCAGCCTGGGCTACACAGTGAGTTCAAGGCCAGTCTGAACTACATAGACAGACTCTACCTCAGAAAAAACAAGAAGGTTTTTGAAAGTCCAGGAGAAGGGCTGGGATATAGCTCAGGGGCACAACTGCCTGCCTGGCAAGCACAAGGTCCTGAGTTCAATTCCTAATACAAAAAAACAAAGTCCAGGAGAGCCAGGCCAAGTGGCACACATCTGTAATCCCAGCACTCGAGAGGCTAAGGCATGAGGATCACCACAAGTTTGAGGCCAGCCTGGAAGACATAGCAAGACTCTGTCTCAAAATAAATAAAATAAATAAAAATTTAAAAGTCTAGGAGAAGCCAGTTCTGACGGCATACTCCTGTAAATCCCAGCAGCTCAGGAGGCTGAGGCAGGAAGACTGGAAGCTTCAGACCACCCTGGGCTTCTCGGGTAGATCTCTGTTTATGTATTTAGTACAGGAATCGAACTCATGGCCTTACACTTGCCAGGCCGGTGCTGTGCCACTGAGCTATAGGCCCAGCCCCAGATCTCCCCATATTAAAAAACAGAAGTGTCCAGGAGAGAAGGGAACAATTTAAATTTATTGAAGGCTTACTTTTATATTAAGAGCTTTACAAACATTCATCTTCACAATATTTTACTGATCAGGCAAATGAGGTTAAATAACTTGCCCAAGGTCATGCAGCTGGAGGTGGCAGAGCCGAGGCCACCCGGATTTCTGATTCTTCATGCCTGCCTCACCACCCCACTGCACAGGCACAAATGCCCCTCGACTTAGATGCCAAGACGCGCCTTTCCTTGTCCAGCGTGCTCCTGAGAACGCAAAGAGGCACTCTCAAACTGGAGGGAGTCGGTGCTTTTCCTGTTCCCGCACTGTAAGTGGGGCACCTCCCCCATAGCTGAACTCCTATGCAGCACAGGACAGAAGCTGTCCCGGTCCAGAGGGGCAGAAAGCAGCAGAGGTCCCCAAAGGTAGGAGGGAAAGGGGCACTTTGGGGGTATACAGCAGGTTTCTTTGTGTGCCAGCCAGTGCAAGGAGGCGCTGGGGGCTGCTGGTCCCGCCCGGCTGGTGCCTGTGACCCCAGCACTCATGTGGATCTGTTCAGTGTGACAAAAAGCCCAGGTCAGAGCCCCGTCTCCCGGCTGCCCCCGCTGAGGCTAAGGCTGTGGGGGCGAGTTCCACGCTCCAGCCTGCGACCGGACAGCAGGCGCCGCAGGGAGGAGCCAGAGCTCAGGTCACCACAGCTCCGGAGGTGGAGGCTCTCTCGGCCTGGCTGGCCCCACGGGCTCCGGGGCACCTGGAAGGAACACAGAAGATGGTATGGGGTGGCCCAGCCGGAAGCTCCAGGCTTTCTCAAGGATCTTTCCTGACTCCTCCAATGCCTACCTGCTTATGTCCATGGGCTCCCGTCCCAGTGGGGTCTGGTGACTTCCTGGACATTTGGAGGAAACGAGTGACCAGGCCCCGGCCCGGCCAGCTTCCTTTCAGGTCCCCCAGAGAGTGGGCAGGTGCAGGGCCCGAGGGCAGGGGGACCTTACAGAAGGTGGGCACCGGGCGCCGTTTCTCGGCCGAGCGGGCACGGAGCAACTTGGGGGAAGGGCAGCGGGCCAGGCGGAAGAGGCAGGCTTCAGAGCAGAGCCCTGCAGAGAGACAGCAAGGAGAGAGTGGAATGTGGAGGTGCACAAGGACTAGGTTGTGCCCCCTACCCTTCACCCCAGTTGCCAACTACCTGCCTGACCTGTATCTGCAGAGGAAATGGAGGCAGCTTCTTCCTCAAGCACTTTGGTATAAAGGTCCCTGAAGTCAGCTGAGGAGGAGAACAACAGGGACTGAATGGGGACATTCTGGGCACGTGTGCTCATCCAGCACACTGCCACGCCCCACTTCCAACCAAGCGAGCATTATCTCTGGCCGCACTTGCAGCAACTAGATGGAAGGTGGGGCCCACGGAGACAGCGACTGCAGCGCTGTCGCTACACCACTGTCTTCAGGCTCTTGGCACCCTGGGGCAGTGATGAGCAGTTTGTGTGTCACTTGGCATTATCTGCTTTCTCGGTACCAACCAAGTGGGGCCCTGCTTTGCTTCCCAGGTCAGCCGAGCCTGGGTACCTTCAGTCCGCCCTCGATTACTAGCATTATCTTCTCTCTCAGCAACTCTATAGCACTTTTAGTTGACATGCTGTTATTATACCTGTTTTACAGGTGAGAAACTGAGGCAGAAAGTAGATAGGTAAATAGTGCGAGATTGGGCACTGTGGAACTGGTATCATATACCAAATATTCGCCCCTGCCTGTAATCCCAACACTCTGGGAAGGC